AATCCCGCTTCAGTGACCCGTGCTGCTTCTCGTCGACCGAGCATCGTCAACCTGTTTATTGATGAAGCTCAGCTAGATACGTTCAGTAAAGAATTGGAATCATCGGTGCGTAAATAGTCATTTATACTAAGGTTGTTTCTGACTTGAATTGTTTCATTCAGATTGAAGAATTGGAAAAGCAACGGCAGACCAAAGATGCTACTGAATCGTCGACTAGCCAGACGAGCAAGGATGATCCCGACCCCAAGGTACTTCGGTTATTTCTTTGTCAACATGACCAACAGCTGATACCAGACTTTCTGCAGGTTTCAGAACATGTAAGATCTTCCGCCATCCTATTTTCTATTCGCTGTCTTATTCGCATTGATTCCAGGCTGAACGAATTTTGGCATACTGGCTACGAGTTGCCACAGTCGTTGAGATCAGAACCAAGAAATCCGACATGACGTCCCAAGAATATCAACACACCCTAGAACAACTCGCTGGTTATTTGCGACGAATGTTTCAGGAGCAGCATGACAGGATGTTTGTCTTCGGGTTGATACTTTTCCACGATTCGCTGTCGCTGTGGTATTGCGATCGGTCGGGTCTATTGGGCGTAGATCGATTCATTGATATCAACCAGGTAACGAGCAAATTCTAGCGCGCTTTATGGTCATCACTTAACAATTGCGATTGCTTAGGAACCCGAGCTTTTCATACGCGTTATCGCTCGTTTGTCGACTATGAGCCCAACGGAACTAGGTTGGGACCCGACTATGAAAGTCTACAGTAGTGACGGCCAACATGCTTATTCTCATTCTCTTGAGATTGGGGGTGTTTGGGAAAACTTCGTGAGATCAACCTACCTGTACAGGACCCGATGGGTGATCAAGATCAACGACGAGGAATATGTGACTATTCGTGCTCTAAGTCTCAGTCGTGCAGAAGCGATGTGGGGCCGTGGACAGTTGGTATGGGTGGCAGTAAACAAGAACACAAGACAAGTCAGTATCGACTTTGTTCCTAGTTTTTTCAACTACTGAATATTAATATTCCAGGTCGTTGTCATCAAGCAATCATGGAGCCCCTTTCCAACAATTGAAGCTCCGGAAGACGAGGACGAGCGGATGGCTACCGAAGAACGCGACTTGACAATTCGGTCCGAGGCGTCTGTCTACAACCACGCGCATTCAAATCAAGATGGGGATATGAAGGTCGGACGTCTCATCGCCCACGAAGAGGTAGCCGACACCAGAACCCTTCTTGACTTTCGAAGAGGCATCCGGCACGTTCCTCGAGACAGCACATACCAATTGGTCCCTGCAAAACGTGACCTTGAAGGGGAGATGAAAGACGAGATGGTTCATATATCAGTTGTTCAACTTGAATGGTGTCAAGAAAGATGTGTTCCTCCGAAGCAATTCACCGAGCGACAGCTTTCTCGTATAGTGCTCAAAGATTATGGTCATCCGCTCAAGCGATTCCGGTCACTTCATGAGTTGGTGCAGTCGATAGAGGACTGCCTTGAAGGTGAGATCTTGCTCGAGCATGCAGCTTTATTTGTAGCTGATCTGAATTTCATAGGTTATCAATATCTGCTTCAAAATGGAATTCTCCATCGGGATCTCAGTCCTGGCAACTGCCTCATTTGCCCCAAGACCATGCTCGCACATTCGGAAAGCACCCAGAACCAGTTCCAGTCACTCGAGACGGTTGGTCGATTGATCGATCTGGATCACGCTAAGATCGACAAAGGGTATAATTTCGATGAAGCAGTAGCTGAAGCTCGTAACAGAGTCGCGCCAACGGAAGAGCAGATCAAAAGGGTCATAGATAACATCAAGGAGGATTATGGTGTGGTGGTAAACGCTGAGGTCTCCAAAAGCCTTTATGTCCTTCCTGTTCCAATCAACAAGAAGCAACGTTGGACATTCATTAAAGCTATGGTGTATGGAGATACGATTTTGGAATCCCTTGACTTTCCAAGGAAAACAACGCAGAATTCTACGGTATGGTCTAAATTTCTTTTGCGATTCGACGAACATCTCTGACCTGAAAGTACCAGACAAGAGAACTCACGCTTGAAGATCTTCGACTAGTTCACTGGCAGGTGTGTAGACTTGCTTTTGCTTCAACAGATGACACTCAGTCTCGACATTTGTTTGCAGACACCCCTACCACCACGGTTCAATCAACGAGAACCGGGGGATGCCGAACGTATCGTGAGTGTGATGCGCTTTTCTACACCTTCGACTTATCCTTATGTTAAACCCAGGGTACGATCCCTTACATGAGTCATGAGCTGTTGGACTTCAGCGTTTTGTCAGTGTTTCCACATACCCCACATAGTATCATCCATGACATGGAATCACTGTTCTGGGTTCTTCTCTATCTGTGCTTGACGCGAAAAGGCCCAGGAGGGGATTCAAGAGACGAGCTGTTCGACCAGCCTGCACCGCTTGAGAAAAGCACCTGGGATCTCCTATTAATTGTAAATTGTTTTTACGACGGTCCAATTCAAGTCATCAGGAACAACAAGAATATCCTGTTCGAGAAGCCGGAAGATTTTGATCCACTCATCTTCATCATATTCATCCATACTTTAACGATGTCAAACCCATACTCCGCGAATGGTGGCGAATCCTTTGTCTAGGCTTTAAACGATACAACGACGCAGAGACTATTGAATATATTCACACCCCTCGACTCTTCCGACTGGCCACCTCGAAATGGCTCCAAAATCATCCGAACAAGGTCGAATCCGAAGAACCGTACATAGAGATGATGAAGAAGGAAGATATGCGCCGTCGTAAAGACCAAATGGAGATTCTCGAGCACGTAGCAGATATTTGTGGGCCGGATTAGCTGTTGTTGACATTGCGATGAATATCGATATGGATACAGATGTTGAAGCTCCTCTAAAGCCTCAAGTGTTCATCTAGAGCAGGAATAGCATCTCCAACCAGTTGATAAGGGATACATTATACACCGTTTGAATAAATAGATACATACTTGCATCAGTGCCAAGTTTTATGATATGGGACTGAATTCTGAATACCCACCCTCATGTTTCGTTCTATGAACTGTCATTCAACGGACTGGTGGTATAATTATACTACTCTCGGATGCATGGGATGAGTAGAACTCTGGCATCGCGGACTTGTCGTAAGTAAAAAAAAAAAGAACCAGTTTTGGGCAGAAAGTCGGGTGAAAAGCCCAGAAGGTATTTTGGGACGTGCCACTTTTGAATGCTATTAATACAAAGGCTTACAAGGTATACAATTCCCGGAGTAACTGCGATGGTAGAGAAAGAGTACACTGGCAATAAGAGGTTGTTTGTAACTTCCGCTGGAAGCCGCTGGAAGAGTATGACTTTTGGGGAGGGGGAACAAAGCTTCAACGACGTGAAAGGTCGCAAAATCAGAGAGAGAGGGATGGGTGGATGTTATTTGTATTGAGAAGTCGTAGTAGGCTGTTTTCCCTACAAAATCCGAGTTAGGGGTAAACCGTAAAGATTAACGGCATCACGTGACTAAATCATCATAGTCGTAAAAAACAAAAAAAAAAAACGAGTTTTGGGCAGAAAGTCGGGTGGAAAGGCCAAAGGGTATTATGGGACGTGCCACTTTTGAATGCTATTAATACAAAGGTCTGCAAGGTATACAATACCCGGAGTAACTGCGATGGTAGAGAAAGGTACACTGGCAATAAGAGGTTGTTCGTAACTTCCGCTGGAAGAGTATGACTTTTGGGGAGGGGAAACAAAGCTTCAACGATGTGGGAGGTCGGAAAAGCAGAGAGATGGACGGATGTTATGTGTATTGAGAAGTCGTAATAGGCTGTTCTCCCTACAGGAATGCGTATATGTGTATTGAGTTTTCGTCTTCTACTGGCAGAGGAAATGGAGGGTAAACGCTGAGATAAGTCAGTCGTAAAGTCGATAACACACAAAAAAAACCCTCATCACTCTAGTAAACTCTGAGCTCTATATTTCTACCGTCTCCCCGTTACCAAAATGACAAAGACGATGATGACTATGGTTGCAAGGATAAACGCCATACTGGCTATAGTGACACGAGCAACGGGGAATTTGCCTCGAGTTAGGGCAGATTGGATGGTAAAGTATCTTGTTGTGCCTATTCCGAGTCATCCAGAGTAGAACCGAGTGTAAGCAAGCGTTCAAAGATAGAAGACAGAAAGAGAAAAAAGACGGAAGAAACTCACCTATTAACAAAACTAATATCCCAAAACAAACTGCCGTGGAACCCAAAGGCTTCGCGAACACTTGTATATGTTTCGACAATGCCGTCGTCATCAACCCGTCCCCGTTCCCATTCCCTGAAGAGTTGGACTGAACGGAGATAGTGAAAAGTTGGACTAAAGCGACTCCTGTAGAAGCTATAGCCAAACTCGTCCTGACATATGCTAAAAACGTCCGTTCCGAAGCTAGATGGTCTCTTGCAACGGACCCCGAGTTCTCTAGAACCAAAGAAGGGTTGAAGTTCCAAGGAGCTTTGGACCGTCGTCGATGGTGGTTGACGGTACCGGAAGGTGACGCAGGGTCCGCAGAGTTCGGGCTCGGGTGACCGTTATGTTGTCGTTGTCTCTCGTCGACAGGCTCCGGACTAGACAAGACTCTCCTTTCGACTCCATCATCCTCACTCTCAGGTGTCCTGGCATCGTTAGGTGAAGTTGGAGGTGGAGAAACCTCTTCAGGCGACGGTCTCTCGTTGCTCTTTTCAATGTACTGAGACATGCGCTTGATAGGGTTCGGAAGAGTGAACGAAACGGAACGACGTGTTTGGAGCTGGGAGGGCCTGGATTGGATGTTGGAATAGTTCCGGTGAAAGGAGCTGGAGGAGGCGAGTGGTGTGTTATCGGCTGGCCGGAATTCCGAATTGGATGCCATCGTAATTGTGCGCTAAGGTGCACGAGGAGAAGAATGGAGAGTAAAACAAAGTTCTAAGTATAGTCACACTTTTTGCTTGGATTGCGTCACGGGTGGATTTTGTCAAGCTCCGACCTTAGCTCAGTTGGAAGAGCACAAGACTGTAATAGGAAGCCTAGCAAATCAATCTTGGGGTCGCCTGTTCGAACCAGGCAGGTCGGAATATTGATTCTATGGATTTTTGTAGTTTTCATGCCGCCTCCATCCATGAGTGTCGTTTTACTATAAGTTCAAGCAAAGGTCAATTTCTTTTCTTTCTGACCCTCTCATAAGTCTGATATGCGAACAGAATAGGTAGTTCATAAATAAATATATATGTGTGTGCCAGCTGCCTATGCTTCGTTAACGATCTCTAAATAATAATCCAGCATCATTCCTGCCCACATGATACACCCCAAGCTCCCATTTGACTGATAATAAAGCCTCTCAGTAAGTACAGAGGAAAAAAAATTTGAACATATCATGTACTCACGTTGAACTTCTTCCAACAATCAGTAGGATCATCCACATCAAGTGTCCCAAGCTGCCAAGCAAAATGGGCAGCTGTTCCTCCGACAGAGATGATAAAGTACGCGAGACCGTGTCCGTTATGAATTCCAACATAGAGGAAGGATCCCACAACGAACGCTGCGAATACAGAGAGAATTGGTCGGACGTATGATCCGAAGAGGAGAGAGGTGGATTTAACACCTGCTTTGACGTCGTCTTTCTTGTCCTAGTAGTTGATTGACATTTTATTATCATCGAGAGCAATTAGAACGATTGATATGGAAGAAGGTACTGATTGAGTTACCTGGCATCCATAGATAGTATCATAGACCAACGTCCATCTACACCAAAGATCATTCTTATTAGCTTTGGTGTTTCCAGGTTTCTTTCTGGACAGACTTACGACCAAAGACCGAAGAGCGACACAGGTACGACTTTCCAATCGACATACCCTGTGACTGTAATCCAAGCCACTGGAAAACCCCAGTTCATCGCGAGACCTTTTCGGTTAATTAAAGAAAAAAGATAGGTCATCAGACCAACGATTGGTTCAAGATATTAAGAAAACATACCCAGCCATGCTTGAGGCCACCATGTCCATCGTTTCATTAGAGGGTAGAGACCATGCAATGGGAAAATTCCGAACAACCCTACGTAAAACCTGGATAGAAAAAAAGATGCGTCAAACTTGAATAGAATAAGAGCGAAGATAATGTACTACATACGCTAAGGGACCAGCATAGACCATGAGGACAATGGATGGTATCAACAGGGAGAGAAGGAGGATGTTAGCGCCGGTGAACCCTATTGCACCTCTTGCGAGAGGTCGATTCTTCGTACGTTCTGACAGAAAAAAATAACGATTGAGGTTGAGCGTTGGGTGGTCAATAGAGAACTGGAATTGGCTTGCTAACAGAACAAAAGACGTACCGACTTGACGGTCAAAATCCCGATCACATATGTCGTTTATGACACAAGCCGCGCTGTGTACCAGCGTGCTCCCGATGAAGAAGAGGAACGTCAGTTTGGCTAGCTCGACTAGGGATATTGGGTTTACGAAGGCACTCAGGACCAGTCCGAACGCTGTTAGAGAAGTAAAATTAGAAATTTTCTTGACAAGGAAGGTGCTAGAAATCGAGGGTTGTATTGGACTTACCACAAGGCCAGAATACGACCATAGTCCCAGTAGGGAACTTGTGCAATCTCGTGAGTTCGAAGTAGTCCCATGCTGAAGCAGGGCTTCCTGATGTCAGGTTCGAAGAAGTTTGGTTTTTGATGTCTGAAGCGGAACGATTGAGTGGAGTCGTCTCTGAGTCGGGCATTGTAGAGTGTTGAGGATTTGTCGTACGGTGTTAGTTCCGTAAACCTTGACTTTTATCGCTTTTTTCGACCGGACCGTCGCCGCGTCCCTCGAGGGCTCAGAGTCCAAAATTCTAGATTCAGTCGATTGCAACTAGATCTAAATGATGGTAACCTGTCCGTGGAACTCAGAATGGAAGCTTTTGACGGTGTCTCTGAAACATGTTCAATGTACCATTTCTAAAAGTCCACCAGCCACAAGCCGTATGTATGTGACACCTTATCCTCGCTTATTCCCAATGTAGTTTTTCTTTTGATATCTAGATCTTTGAGCCATGATGATCACGAAATCTAATGGGTTCGGAACAAGTCGATTGCGGAAACGAAATTTGATTCAAAGCCACCGCGCTGCGCGCTCACGGCCGTGTAATAGCTGTTTGCATGGGAATCCGTCGGTATACTAGTGGCTCACCTTGCAAAGAATGGGGGGCTGGGAAAGATGTGCGGGGACTAGTACTAGTAAAGGGTTATTTTTAATCGCCAAAACAAGCTACACATCAAATTGAAGGCTTCTTTTTGTGATTGTGAACTGATGAACTAACGATAAATCGCAACGGTTCGTTTGGTTGGTTTGGGCGTCTTTTCGATAATTGTCAATCATGAGACCTTTTTTGTTCGTTATATGAAAAACCCTTGTACATTTACTACTAACATACAAGGCTACTAACATGGGCGGATGAAATTAGGGTCGTCTTTTGACAGATGCCAACAGTAAATTTCCAAATTACAATATTTCTTTTCCTGAAGGTGATAAAATTAAACACTCGGTTTAACACGCAAAACGCTGATTGAGACGAAGACTCAAGGGGCCTTCGCTGTGTTACTCACGCCTATCGAACGTAGTGATTGTGTTCTGTCACCGGTAATTCTCTCCTCTACTGGTTCCCGACTGCCATCCAATATCCACTTCCTTTGCATCTTGGACGTCGATTGAATAACTCCTTCGCTTTTCAACCCTTCGCCACGCCGTGATGACCTTTCAAATCGAATACGGCTTGGTTATACTGCTCCTCGCATACTCTGCAGCTGCTCTCCTTCGAAGAAACAAGACACGTTATCCTCCAGGACCACGTCCACACCCAATCTTAGGCCATTGCTTCAAGTTCCGTCAATCCAGACTTGGAAATACTTTGATTCCCTCTCTAAGCAATATGGTAGGGGACATGCTCCCAACTAAGTTAACGAAAGGATTCTAATGGAAAGATTATTAGGTCCAATATTCCGTTTGAATCTCGCAGGAAGTAATATGGTTGTTCTAGCTAGACCGGAAGATGCAGAGGAGTTGGTTAGTACAATTTCTTTTGCATTGTATAACTTGTGTCTCATGCGAAATCTATTTTCTTCTTATACATGTAGCTTGGTCGTCGATCATCCAACTATTCTTCCAGACCACCGTTAATCTATGCTGGGAAATATCAGTCTAATAACAAACGGATGGTTCTTTTACCCTACGGAGAGAGGTTGAGACTGCAGAGAGTCGCTTTTCATCAAATGCTCCAGCCGAGAGGTATAATGCACGTCAATAAATGTACAAACCTATACTGACCATCTTTTCACTAGTTATCGGAGCGTACGAATCCATGCAAGAACTTGAATCAGCCAAACTTCTTTCCGACATACTCGAATCCCCTCTGAATAACGATCTTCATTGTCAACGATTTGCCGCCTCTATGGTGTTTTACTTGAGCTATGGTAAACGTCTTGACGACAACGGACAAGACCTTGCTGCCATCTCTGATGTTCTCAAGAACTTTGTTCGAGATACCACGCCTGGAGCTCATCTAGTCGACACGATCACCGTCTTGGATTATTTGCCGGACGTTCTTGCTCCTTGGAGAAAGAAAGCCCTTGAACGACATGAAATGGAAGTGAAGGTACGATCATCACTAGTTTAAGCATATACTTAGAGATACTTACCTGGAATTTTTTTATAGTTGTATACACGACTAATAATGGAAGTCAAACAGAAGATTGACGACGGAAATACCGGTTTTGAATGTTTTGCTGCACGTTTATGGGATCAAAAGGATTCGCTTGGGTTCGATTTAGAAGACATGGCATACGGTAGTAGATTTTTACCTTCGAATAGTTTACGAAAGCCTTCTAACCTGTACGTCTAGTCGCAGGAACAGCATTCGAAGCAGGGACCGATACGACTGCGAGCACTATCCTATGGTTCCTCATGGCCATGCTGCTTTACCCTAACACAATGAAAAAAGCACAAGCGGAACTGGATGCTGTGATGGGATCAGAGGGTAAATTCATGCCGGGATTTGCGCATATCAACCAACTTCCGTACTGTGTTGCTCTTACAAAGGAGGTATTTCGGTGGGCTCCAGCTGCACCAGGAGGTAAGGTCTAAGCCGGGACTCTGACAAGTACCAAAGTGATTATATTTCTTTTCTAGGTTTTCCTCACTATTCTGAGACGGACGATGAGTACAAAGGGTTCAGAGTACGTCCTTCTTTTTTTTTTTTCAAAAGCACACTGTCTGAATTTGTTAAATTCTGGTTAGATCAAGAGCAAGACAATGGTGCGTATGTTTCATTCAAAGAGTGTATAAGGTCACGTATTTTTTGATTAGGTCGTTCCTAACATTTGGTCCATGGTAAGTTCAGTGATTCCTATACTGCTTTTTAATTTATCTAACTGCATTCAACAGCACCATAATGAAGAAGAGTTTCCGGACCCATACGCTTTCAATCCAGAGCGATTCATGGCTGTAAACACAGAGGAATTTGATTCCTTCTCCACTGGGCATTATGGGTTTGGATTCGGCCGCAGGTCAGTCTTAGTTTAATGTACGGCAGTATTTTTTACTGATCAAAAAAATTCAGACAATGCCCTGGTCGCCATCTGGCAGGAAAGACCATATGGATAGCGATCGTTAGAATGCTGTGGGCATTCTCCATCGAACCAGTACGAGACAAAGATGGCGTGCCTGTCAAAGTTGATCCAAATAACTGTACCTCGGGAATGACTTCGTAAGTAACGTTCCTTGCTACGAAATTGTTCTTTTCTCCTCGAACTGAGAAAATATCAGTCGTCCAGTTGATTTTCCCTTGAAAATTACACCACGTTCTAAGGCACATGTGGAGTCCATCAAAAAAGAATGGGCAAGGTGAGAGAACAGATCATTGTGATCAGCTTCATTCTCCTAATGTTTTATTTTAGCTTTGCTAATGTTATATAAGTGGAGTATATTTTTATACTTTGAATAAATCAACAAGATTGTGCCTTGATGTAATGGTGACCTTGCCCGAGCAGTTCTCAGATCAGATATGTTTCCAAGACGGCATCGACCAGGAAGACGG